CCATTTGATAAAATTCCAAAATATTTCACATGAAACAATTCAAGGCAATACAAGGCATGTTTAAATACAGGCATTTATTTAAGTACAATGAAAAAAAAAATCATTTATGAACAAGATAGCAAATAAACAAACCTGTCAATGCTGTATTTGTATCCTTTACATCCTCTTTTCCTGGCATAATAAAGCATTGCTTTGTGCGTAGTGCATCTACAGTTACAGTTTTTACACTACAAGAGTGACATATTTGAGTGACACTAATCCCCAGAACTAGATAAAATGATAGAATAAACCCAGTGCACACAAATGCCCTTGACCTAAATATTTACAAGATATCAATAATCAGGTGAGCATTCTCTCTGTCGATGGTGAGAATGTTACTGAGGCACATATTTTTCAGTGTTTTATCTGGGTAAAAAATAAAAAAGTGGTTTCTTGAATATAAAAAGGAGAAATCATAGCATATTCTGATGGAACAGAGAGTCATCTAATGTACTTACATGATAGAATAATATGTTACAAAAGAAAGACAGTGATCCAATTTGGACCTGACAATTTTCTTTTTAAGTGAAATTGGAAAGGATACATTCCTATGTACATTATGGTATGCTCTCAGTCCCTTTACACTGCTACATGATCATTTAAAGTAAGCAGTGCCCATACAGGAGGAGATGTCTAATGCAGCACACCCGAAATATACTCCAAAATGTCCAAAATGTAACCATAAAATTGAGAAATTATTTGGCTAGTCTATCCCATATATTATTATTGCAAGTATCAAAAGTGTTGTAGTGACATATTCACATGTTAAAGTCTTACAGCCAGTGCTGAATTGGCAGTCAGACATGATCCTCTGTGGGTAAGCAGAAATAGCAACTTGAGGGTCAAAACGGCAAATGTTTACTTGGCTTGTATTGGCAAGTGAAGACATACAGCTGATCACACTTGTACAATGTGGATGATCAAACAAGCACCTGATATGTTTTGACAATGCAGAAATCTTAGATAAATGTGTCAAACTGTCTTCATGTGTTAATCCCAAAATCAGTGAAAATTTAAGCTATTTTATAATTACATGCTACATAAAAAATGACCTTTGCTAGGTAAGTGGCCATTTGCTTATTCAAAGTAAAAGTTGTTGAAAACAAATGCACAGCAACCATGAGACAGCTCCACCAACAATCTGTTAACCTCTTTCTATTCCAGGGTCATGATATATTCATTAGTTAGATAACACAGCAAAGTGGGTGCTGAGATGTAACTTTCCACTCTAAAATTAGAAGAGGTCTAGCACAAGCCCAAACAAACTTGCTCTGATTTGCCTTCTAAAGAAGCCTCTGAATAGGGGTCTCTGTCAGAATCAGAATCAGAATCAGAAATACTTTAATAATCCCCGTGGGGAAATTACTTGAGCTTCCCAATAGGGGGTCCATAGTGCAGATCTCACTGTCAATATGAAGGCCTCTTTGACCTATTCCATGGCTCTCTAAATAAGTTTCATGGTGAACCTGCCACCGTCACCTCCATCCCCTCCTCCACCACCCATGGAAGACCGAGGAACAAAGTCAATAGTTGCCGTGTGCTTGATCTGACCTTTGCTCTGGCTCCAGAAAAACATGAAGACAAAACAGATGGCCACCGAGCTGAGGAAAGACAGAAAGCCCATGGTGGTTGCGATGATCAGGGTCTTTGCATCAAACGGGTATGGCTTGGCCATTTGAGCTGAGGAGTTGGCAGCTTGGGGATTTGAAGGCTCTGCCCAGCCCTCCTCTGCGAGGAAGGGGATGGTTCGGTTACGAGGGAGCCCCTTCACATACAGACCGACAGTCAGACTGTCATTGCCAGCTGCATTGCCTGCCAGGCACTGATATGTGCCACTGTCCTGAACTTGGGCAAAACGCACCTCTAGAGTACCATTACCCAAAACTCTGATTCGTCCTGTTGGGGAAACCACATTTTTATGGGATGAGATCCAGGTGATAGATGGTAATGGATCCCCATCAGCTTTACAGGAGAAGAGAACTGTAGTACCCTCCTCTACTCTCGCCTCCTGTGGCCTGCGGTCCATGATACGGGCAGGGCGGCAGGTGAACAGCCTCGGGAGCTCCTTCTCTGAGAAGTCTCTGAATTCACGCTGTCTCACCGCATCAGGGGACGAACAAGTGGGCTGATGTCCATCAAAGTTCAAACGCAATCGGCGTCGGACCACCCAGATGAGCCGGCAGTCACATGCTAGGGGATTCCCATCCAACCGCAACACCTGAAGGTTCCCCACAGAGTGGAAGACGCTCTCCTCCAAAGTGGTGAGCTGATTGGATGTCACATTAAGCATACGAAAGTAGGCCAGTCCCCTAAAGGCCCCCGGCTCTATTCGTAGCAGGCTCCCCCCTGCTAGGTGTAACTCCTGGAGTCTCAGGAGGTCCCCTAGCAGATTACCTTGGATAACAGTGATGGGGTTGTAGGACAGGTCTAGGAAGCGCAGATACACCAGGTGACGAAGTGCTGAATAAGGAATAGCACTTAGGTTGCAGCTGCTGATGACAAGTGAGGTCAAATTAAGACCGATTAGACTGTTGCTAGCCATAGTGTCCAATGCTGGCCAATTTGCAATCAGGAGACTACGCAAACGGTGGAGTCGTCGGAAAGCGTTGTTGGGCAGTGAAGAAATGGTGAGACGTAACATGCGAAGACGTGTTAGGCTCTGGAGCTGAGACAATGCCTCGGTGGGAACAGAGGTCAGGTTGCTGCGGTCTATGTTGAGCTCCTGTAGATTCTGCAGACCAAAGAAAGCCCTCTGGGAGATGAAGACCAAGTCATTCTCCTCAGCCTCCAGTGTTTGCAGGTTTACCAGTTCTTTGAAGGTATAGTCCAGGAAGACCAGAATCTCATTCTGGCTCAAATCCAGAAGACGCAGACTGGACAGGCCAGAAAACACCCCAACCGGGATGATCTTGAGTCGGTTATTCTTAATCCGAAGCGTTCTGAGATTCTGTAGGCCCTGGAAAGCCTCCACCTCAATCATGGAGATTACATTATCACTGAGATCTAACTCTTGAAGTTGCAGGAGGCCAGAGAACTGGCGGCGCCCCACAGTCTTAATCTTATTGTGGGATAAATCCAAACGCCTGGCATCACTGGAAAAGCCCTCTGGCACTGAGTTCAAATGTTTGCCAGAGCAGATCACTTCTTTAGCCTCAGGTCGACACACACAGCGTGGAGGACAGCTTCCTGCAGATACACACAGTCCAAACTGGAGCAGGATGCTCCATGCTCCCCATCGAACGACTGACTCCATAAACATCTTACCCCCAGCCTGAGAAGTGACACAGACATAAAGACATTAGCTCTGATGTTTCACAATTAATTATTTGTACTGGATTCATTTTCCTCATTTAGTTTCAGACATCAGACATACCGTTTCAGTCTCAGAGTGCAGATTTTCATAACCAGTGGCAGTCAAGTTGGAATCAGACTTGAGTTAAGTCCTCTGTAGAGATGTGGTCCAGTCAATACCATGCCTTTTAGAGTAGCCTGGACATAAGAGAGAGACAGAAAAAGAAGTCTTAACGAAATGAAAAACAAAGTTTAACTTAGTTCCTTAACTCAGAACAGCCAAAACAATGTCCATCTCATCAGCCTTTTCCTCCAACTGGTATGTGTTCCTGCTAAAGGAAAACCAGGACAAACCAGATTAACTGAAAAACAGCTACAAATACTACTTTTTGAGCAGGTGGTCCTGCCCTGGTTTTAAATTATTTATTTTGTACCAGCTGGTCTCATGGAGAAGCGTGACCAGGGTGCCAATGTGGATCTTAAATGAAGTGAAGACAAACAGTTTTTAATGAGTTTTGAGCTTGGTATTTGAGTTGAGTCAGGTTTAGATCAGTGGATGCCATATTAAACTTATCCACACCAAAAGTCCTCAGGTGTGTCATGAAGACTGGGACAACAACATGGTGACACTATTTCTACTGTTGACAGTGTCCCATATTTAATATCTGGTGCTCTCTTAGTACGTGTTTTTATAGTTGTCATTTGATATGCTGGCGAGCACAACAAAAAGTACACATTTTGGGTAGCAGAGTCTGCCCAGTTTGAAGCAGATGTCACAGCTGATAAGAGCGGCCTACATCTCTGTACCGCAGACAACAAAATCCCTACTTAACTGATTAGCAAAGAATACATCTCACTTTTGACTCAGGACATTTTATCCTCCCAAAGACTGTAAAAGTACCATTAACAGAACTTAACACCCATGGAAGTGTCCACATATGAGCCGCCCTGAAAAATTATTTTTAAAAGCCTCATGCGCAATGTCTCTCACAGAGCAGATGAGGCCTCTGTGGGATAAGAGCTTTGCCCCCTGGGCCAGGCATCTGGATTTAGGCACGCCAACTGTAGCCAGAGCCAGCAACAGGGTAAGGGCAATATAGATTTTTCAGAATAAAATTAGTTTATATGCAAAATAAACAAATACAATAAAGAGTATCACGAAATGTAGACACAGGGTAAAGATGGTAGGTATATCCAAATAGAAAAATCTAGAAGTACAGTATGCTGTAAGGTTGTAAAGTCCTTTGTGTTTTGGAACTATAATTCTGTATAGAGAAACAACTTAAATTTAACTAAATCCATAAAAGATTTTGTTTTGACAGGATATTTTCCAAACTACCAAAATAATCTATATATTTAATTTAATGACATTAAGTGTTTTACTTCAAAATGATGACTAACCTGCTTCAATTACTGATGACTCCTTTTGTGATTTACAGTTAGGAAATCACTTAAAAAAAAGAAATTTAATTTAATCTGCAGTAGCAATTTCCCTTATGTTAAGAGTAAAATACTTAAATTCATACCTATTGTAACGGTTTGAATCATGGAGGTTTAGAACCATGAAAAAGGGTACATGGAACATAATAGTTGCCGAAATTAGTCAATACTGAAAAGAAATTGCTCAAACCAGATTAAATCCGAAATCATGAATGTCAAGAAACTGATCAAACCAGACATTTTAAAATAAACAATAATATATAGGTTTAGTTTAGTTATTGATCATAACACAGAGTAAAGACTAAAAGCTACTGCACACTGTTGAGGAAAGGAGTCCAATAAATGGCCAGTGATGTAAAATGCTGCATGGTGAAATATTACATAATTACATTATTCTGCCAGTGTCTGGCCTTGCCAGTTGAATACACCAGTGCTGGGAAAGTATGTGATGTAAATTATGTATTCCCCTCTCCAACAACCACCGCTAAGAGCAGATGCAGTACTCTCAACAAAGCGAACTAATGTTAAAAATCAACTCTAATTCTTAACACAGCACGCACAATGTCCCACAACTGCACAGAAAACTCAGAGATCAAAACATATGCTGCACTCAAATAGGACAAAGTTATGTTTCATAACCAGCAGAGATATTATATATTCTTCCAAAATACAGCTAAGATAATCCAAATGCCAGACTCAGTCTAACCTGCAGCAGTAGCAGCTTCTCGCTCTCCACCATCAGACAGTTTCCAAAGTGTGGACTCGCTGCTGCCTCTTCTCTGAGTGGCAGAGTTGTCGACAGTCCCAGAGCTGCACAGTCTCTGTCTCATCTCTGCTCTTCATGCAAACAGCTCTTATACTGGCTGGCTGAGAGCGCTGACTCCCAACCCAACACTTGTGCTCTTAGACTCCCAGGATTCCTGATTCCTGTTAGACCGATATATCAGAGTGCAGACACACCAGACTCCGATACTGGCAGTTTATTAAACATCTCCATTGATCGGGGGAGGTTTTCTTGATTACAGCTATAGTAAAACAATCCAAGTCTTAAATTTCTGTGTTAAATTCTTTCATGTTTTAATTTTTGTAGTTTTTGCAAGGTAGTTCTTTTTAGATTTAAAGGTAACGTTGAGTTTTTTCTAAGATGATATGGTGGCGGTACCTTAAAAAACTATGATTTATTTTTAAAGATTATTCATCTGGGGTTGTGTATTGTGGAGTGTTATTGTCCCATGATGGTATTACTGCTCTTTTTCAACCTCCCTCTTCCTTTGATGCAAATGCAAACAAGATCGGCAATAAATATAGGCTTTTAGCCATCAAGAATCCATATCAGTCTCCTTAGTCTCCTATCATTGTGTAATGCATGGGAGGGGCTCACAATTTAAATGTGTTGATCCCCCCCATGAGCCACCTTGTGAGAGACATAGACTGGCAGGTGTGTGATATCCCAGGCGGGTAGGCAGTCAGTTGCTGAGCCATTCCAGCCAATCAGGGTTCAGGATCGCTCCTCCTCTGTGTCTCTGCACACATCATAAAGCTGCACTCCAGCCAAAGGTCGCAACCCTGGGTCACGGCCAGGACTGACCCCAAACGTCAAATTAGAAAGTGAGGGAATAAATGCATTTGTAATTTCGACATCTATTTGTCACCCTGCGTTGAGCATAGTCACATGAGTGTCATGTTGCAGTGTTAATTATGCTAACTATTTTCTATTACGCACAGCCACTGGTTGCTTCTATTAATGATGCAGTTTTAAATTAGAGCAGACAGCAGTCACGTAAGACTGCAGTGGTCTGAAATTCCAGAGAACTCAAAACACTTCAAGCCAGTGATACTTTCAGGAATATAATACAGAACTGTTTCATGTCAAAAACAGGAATCTATTTTTATAACCATAATGTTTTCAGGAAAAAGACCATTACTAGAAAAGCCCCTCTAGTTCTCTAGTCTCTGTTCTGTAGTTTCCTAATTTTAGTCATGCTCATACATTTTGAATACCCCTGTAAATTACAGACTGGACATGAGTCCAAATTTAGACAGAAATAAGTCCAGAATGTCTTAGAAATGAAAAGCAGAAAGCTGGCCTATATAATTTCATAATTCATGGCTGATAACTGTAAAATTATTTTATTACTAATTAATTATTTTGATAGAGTTGGAGATATTAGCTTTTCCCACAACACTAAATGATCATGATTATAATTTGCATGATTCATTACATGATAACTTTGTTCATTTGCATAGCCTTACTGTAATATCTGAGCTTTTGGTAATCAAACCCAACTTCCTTGCAGTCATTTCTGACCAAGTCCATTGATCATTTCTTTTGAATTGAGTTTAATAATAATGTTGTTTAGTTACGGAGGAAAGTCTGTCCATCTCGTTGTTTCTCAGATTGGCTTACATAGACTGGAACATGAATCTTCCATTTGATGTTCCTGAAAAAAAACCCAAAACTTTTTGCATAACTCAAAAACATCCACTCCCCTCAAGCCAAGCAGGAGCCAACTCTTACCTAATAAACCCTCACGATGCCAAAATGCAAACAATATCGAAACCAATCGGATGTAACCTCTCTTCAGACAATCCCCTGGCAGAGTCCAGGCATCTTTTTGGGTGAATTCCCACTATCGCTTAATTCTCAACTTCCTTGACTGTGCTTTGCTCTCTCTCGCCTGTCATCAGACAAAACTCATCAAGTCTCTCAGCTTGGGCCCTTATCGCCTTACATCAATCTGTGGACAGTTGCCACCCTGTGTTAAAATTAGTACTTTCTTCACCGACCGCACACAGCTGCAGATTTAGTCATTACTTAGTTCTTTACAGTTGCTTTATGTTCCCCTCATAATTAGAAAAAGCATTATGTTAATCAAACTACTAGTGAAATTAAAAACAGTGAAAAAAGACGATTTTATTGAAGATCACATCAATGTTTTTTGGTGTGGATAATGGTCACTAAAGTGTTTTTATCAATCTGTGAGGTGTGATTATAATGCTCACCAGAAAATGCTTAAATCTGTAACTCAGCTCTGATGGAACATTTTAAGTGTTCATTTCATTCACCAAACTGCTATGTGAGCATTTCTGTCCAGGATTGCATCCAACAAAGTGCTACAGTGAACAGCGACGTATTTCATTATCTTGCTGTAACAAGGCCAGAAGCAAAGAAGAGGCTATGATTCTCAATTGACTTGAACTCATCTTCTCGCTTAGCTTTGAAAAGCAGCAGAATGTGAGAACTGTCACAGAAAACGTGCAATTACGGAGATGAAGATTTTTGGCAAAAACTTCCTTTGCAACAGGTACATTAAACAGGAACTTGACCTCACAATGGCCGTTCTTTGTTTCCTTCTGAGTTTGGAGGCCCTAAGCATGAATTCCTGTGCCAAGCAGTCCATCTGACAGAGAATGCACAGTCTGATCCCGGCTGGGTTTTCTGACACTTGTCAAAGAGCTATTTTTAGCTCGTCACAGAGCGAAAGACAAGAGCCTGGCTCAAATCCCCAATTAAAGCGGCTGGAACAGAACAA